TTCACTAAAAGATTAAGTAATCATTTCAGGTGTTATAACTGTTAATGATATCATATTAATGTATGGCAATTCTAATTTTTTTTTAATAGGTTTTTAAAATAAATGTTATTTATATAACTTATAATCATTGTAAGGGATCAAAACTAGTAATTTTAAATTTTAGAAGGATGAAAATCAAATAAAAATATGTTTACAAGGATCAAAATCAATATTTACTCATTTTACAATAATTAAAAATATTTTATAAAGACAAAAATTAATATTTACAAATTTTAGAAAGATAAAAAATAAAGGAAAAATTGTACATATAACTAAATCAAAACTTCCTCAATTATGTATATTAATTAAATATAAATATTAATTATAAATTAATATAATACAAATATAATAGAAATACAAAATTACATTATATGGTAAATAGGTCAACATATCATATTTACAATACTTTTTTAAAAGTTTAAAAATTTGTCTCTTTAGTTAAAAAAAATTAATTTTTTTAACTTTTTTAATAAATAGGTCACGTTAAGCTGCAAGTTCCAGGACTCTTGACCTACATTTATCTCTAATTAGAAGTGTAGATGACTGATGTAACCACATTTACATTTCAATAATAAAAATATAGTCGTTCTACTTTTAAAGAGAGACATTGTCGATTCTGATTAAATCGTTGTCTCTGTTTGTGTTTATTCTGCATATGTTGTAAAATAAAATTATTTCCCTTAAGCCATAATATCTGAGCCTCCATGGTGAAGGTAGTGAGCAATAAAGGACTACTTAATTCAAAATTAATCTTTGCATACAAAGTGTTTATCATGCCTTATAATAGGATTCTAAGTATGAGAACAAATATCCTCGTAGTCCAAATTGCATAAAACATAATTTATCCCCTGCACATAAAATTCTTCTTATTTAAACTCATTCTAGTTGTCAGCAAACAATAAATGTCAAGTAAAAACCAACACGTACATTTAACAAATTAAATATGAATTTTCGTATCTTATTTATTTATTACATAATACGTCCATATTATCTTTTTATAGAACAAATATTTTATTAGATTGGAATACAAGGATGCTCCTCCTTCGTCTTTACATGTAGTCTTCCACTTATTTGCCCCATCTAGAAATGTTTATGGGTTAAGTTGGTTGGTATTTAGATGAGAATCTCATCTAAATTAATTAAATTTAATTAATTTAGATTGAATTAAACTTTTTAAAAAAAATTGTTTAATTTAAACCGAACAAGTTTGATATTGATTGAGTTGATTCAATTCGGATTATCAAATATTCAATGAATTTTTTTAAAAAAAATCATTTTCTCAAAATAAATAGATTTTTTAACATTAATTAAATTAATATATTGTCAAAAATTAACTAAATTGATTGCATTGTAGTTTTTTTTAATTTTCTTAAAGATTTCAAATGTATTACAATGTGTAAAAATGACATTCAATATATTATAATATAATTATTATTGTTTCTTTAAGTATTTGAAAAAAGGAATGAACAAATCTACATATTGTAACACAAAATGTCTTCAAAATAATTAAAATGATATATGCATATTAATTATTAACCAAATAAAAAATAAAAATATATATAAATTATTTGATTTGGTTCAAGTTGGTTAAAATTTTAAATGTGTAAATATGATATCCGAACTAATCAATATCAGATTTAATTAAGTTGGTTTGGGTTAGACCCAAACAAAAAAATTCGAATCAATTTATTTGATTCAGTTCAGATGGTTGAGTTTGTCAAATTAATTTGATTCGATGAACATCCTACTCACATCTACCAAATATAGGCTTTGCATTTAAATATTTTTATTTTTTTAATCATATTATTAGTACAAAATATCTATTTTATTTTATCAGTCATTATAATTTTCGCTAGAGAATCGGATTGATCACACCTTTAATTAGTTCCATTTCAATTACGTTTTTTTTTTTCATCCATAAGACTTTAATCCAAAATTTTACTTAAGAGAATTGAGTTTAATTTCACTCAAAACTAACAACATATTTAGTGCTTTGTTTTTAAATATATTTAAAATCAACTAATTTATGCATTAATTAAGAAAAATTGTTGTTTTTTATGCAATATTTCACTACAAGAAATGTTTCATATAATATCATACAAATTTTTTTACTATAAATGTAATATATACATAAATTTATTTGACATATAGCTACATACAATTTAAATATTGATTTTGAATGATATTTAACAACATATTATATATGTCACTATAACTTATAACTAAATTTTTTAATAATATATACCAACATATATTGTTATCTACAATGTAGGTAAAAATAATTTTAATAACAAATGATATGTCACTATAAGATATGTGTCACCACATAATTAAGGAAATTGTTATTTTTTTATACAATATTTCATTACAAGAAATATTTCATATAGTGACATACGTACAAAAATTATCGCTATAAATGCAATATATGCATAAATTTTTTTAACATATAGTTACACACAATTTAAGTGTTGTTTTTGAATAAAATTTAACAATATATTGTATATATTATTATAACTTATAACTATATATTTTTAATAATATACCAACATATATTATTATTATTTATAGTGTAGATAAAAATAATTTAATAACAAATGATATGTTAATATAAGATGTGTATTATTACATAATAATTTTTTGTTTTTTTAGTGTTTTAGTTCTCATTTTCCGGCTTTGAAAGGGCAACCTTGCTGGTCCATGGTCATGTCCGTAACTTTTTCCACCTTGATAAGCTCAAATTGTTAAGTAATTTAAATATATATTACTTATAATTATGTTTATGCCCCATAAAATTTATTGGATTAAGACAGTTTACATGCATTCTCAGGTAAATGATTATAGATTTTATCTATTTTGATATTGTGATAGTTATGTGGATGATTTTTTGTTTAATTTTTATCAACTTTAAGTTTATGTACCAAAATTTTGGTAATTAGCATCTTACATATAATATGATATTAACTATTAGGGTTCTCGATTAAATTTTATAATTTAAGCTCCACAAATTTTGGGTAGAAGTTCCGCATTCATCCCTATCATATGCTGTGCCAAAATTCAATGCTATTATGGATTTTAATTTTCTCTTCACTCCATTTAATTTGTAACCATTCGCAAGCTACACCGTAGAATTAATCTGTATATCTTTTGATAAATTTTGAAGTGATGCATCTCAATTAACTTTTTTTCCCTTCTAAATTTTCTCTTTAAATCCTTACTTAAATAATAATAAAAAATCACTGTATATAGATTTGCTTAATGAGTATTTAACTTTTTCTTTTTGACAAGTCAAATTCATTATTCATCCAATATTTATTGTAAACTTACAGACCAATAATTAAGCAGAAATCTCCTCCACCGATAAAAATCTCCTCCACCGAAAAAAAGATACCACTTATTTAACTTTCTAGTTGTTAATCGTATTTGTATAGTGTAAATGACTAACAATCAACGTAAAAGATATACGAAAGTATGATAGGTTTTGTGGTTTGTTTATGGTCTATTTGCTTACATAGAAATAGAATACCCGACATACAGTTGATCTTATAAAATTTAGATGTTGGTTGTGGCCGGTTATCTGTCAAAGGAAAAAAATCTATTTCTTTATTTGAATGGTGTATGAATTCTATACATTGCTTGAAAGTTTTGCAGTAAGTACAAACATATTGTATTCTTATATGTGAGTTCGGGTACTCCTTATACTTCTTTCTGAATATATATTATAAAAAAAATAACATAAAGGTTTTTTTTTTTTGTTTAAATGATCCGCTAAACCCATGCTTTATTTGAAAGCAATGTTATAAGTATAAATTTTTTATATGGATTTAGATATCCTTGTTACTCTCATTTATTATATGTTTGCTTTGCCTATAAAAAAAAAAACTCTTCATAAATAGAGACAAAATAAAATCAAAGAATATTATATATATATTGATGGAGTTATTTTATGATATTTGTTTGAGAGGATATTTTATGAGTTATTTTTATAAGGTTATTACACAAATATACTCCACAATGATGAGATATTGTCCGCTTTGGGCCTTAGCCCTCACGGTTTTGCTTTTGGTCATCACCCAAAAGGCCTCTCAATCATTGAAGTATGTTTGTATTATATAAATTGTTATTTGTTGTATTATTTTATGGATGTGGGACTTGTTTGAATCCCAACAATCCTCCTCTCAAACAAGGGACCTAACCTTTTATGCAGCGGAATCTGTCCTTATATGGCACATTATATTTTATGAACCTGCGGCTCTGATGCCAATGATGGAATTATTTTATGATATTTGTTTGAGAGAATATTTTATGAGTTATTTTTATAAGGTTATTACACAAACATACTCCACAATGATGAGATATTGTCTGCTTTAGGCCTTAGCCCTCACGGTTTTGCTTTTAGTCATCACCCAAAAGGCCTTTCAATTATTGAAGTATGTTTGTATTATATAAGTTGTTATTTGTTGTATTATTTTATCGATGTGAGACTACATATATGTATCTAGTAAAATTTATTAAACTTGATTATAAATAGATTTTTTTAAGAAAGTAACATTTGGACACCTAAAAAATGTCATTTGACACCTGGTGAGAGAAAGATAAAAGAGAAAAAAATATATTGTTGCAATAAGTGATAAAATATAATAAGAAAAAAGGGAAAGA